TTTGAAGGATTAAGGAACAAAGAAATCTGTCAACTATTGATAACAATAATTAACAATAATAGTTACCACAGAGTAAAACCACAGTCGAAACAGCTCTTTTAAAGTAAGATTTTGAGTAGTCATGCTTCAAACCTGAACCAATGGGAGGCTCTATAAATGTTCACTCAGGTTTCATTTAAATGGCTGAAAAATGTCAGTTGCTTTATCTAAACTACAACCTAAAGGCCATGCCTTTCATCCATTAATATGTAAAAACACATCAAATCATGATGACTGAGACAACTACCACTGTTGGTTGTACCCTGAAGAAGCAAAACATCAGGACGCCACATGTTGGCTCTAGACAAAAATGTGACATCTTTTTTTTACAGTCTGGATAAGTCTTCTTCTTAGCTCCTCTGCACTCCTGCCTTTCTTTCTTCAAGCTCACTGCCGTTAATGCCTTAAAAAGTTGCTTCCACTTGAGGCGTGTAGGCAAAACGCTGTCTCTCTCAAAGCAGACGCTTCAATCAAACCGTTTCATCTCAAGGCTTTGTCTAGAATATTTCAACTCGTCACTGCATATAGGAAACTTGTCACTTGACTCATCACCTCTGCAGCTCTGCTTGTAATGTGCATCTTTTCGCATACTGCGCACACTGATGGTGTTGTGACTCAAATTAAAGTAAACTTACTGAAACCTCTGCAAGACTGTAAGGCCAGCTGAAAGTTAGAGTGGAGAAAACTGTCACTTCCTTGATTTGTTATTAGAGAATCACATGTTAATACCAGCAGCGGCTTGACGTCATAAATTACCCACAGCCATAACGGACAAAAATCACTGTGCAGCAAGAGAGACTAAAGTGCTATTTATACCACCAGAGAGGTTTACTGAAGCAGTTACTGCAGATTATTATCGTAGCTCAAAATGATCCTTATACTTAATGTCCTCTAATGTGTTTCTCTTCCCATAACAGAAACTATGAAGCACTTTTGGCTTGGTTTTCTGGAAACAGTAGTACTAATTAAGAGGAAAAGCCTTTGGAATTGATACAAAAGGATAATATCTCAGTTGGATGACTCACACGTTTTTAATTTCGTTTCAGAAAACAAGGAAGGGCAAAATATAATCCAGATAAATAGGAAAAAAGTTCTGACAAACACAGCATTTGCAAAATAAAATGTTTTAGTTCCTTGTGCCTGTTGGCTGTTCTAAAACTTAATTTGCGGTTTTTATTTGAACTGCAAAAGTGTTCCTGCTGCTTATCTGTAGTCTTTGTTTATGAGAATAAAGAAGCAAACGCACAAATGCACTTGACTTTTGCCTTCGCTCATCCATCAAAGATTATCAGTTGCCAGTCTCTTTTATTTGTACCGTCATTCTTTTGGAAAAGAAGGATAACCTTTGCTCCATCTTCAAAGCCATTCTCACAGTCACTCAAGCTTTTTGTTGTCCAATATAAATTTACTGCAAACTGTACTGCCAGTAAATTTTTTCCTGTGCTTCTCTCATATTCGCTCTCTGACGCACACGCAAAAACGGAAAAAAAAGAAAAGCAGTTCGACTAATTCAATCCAACGCCACACCAACACCAGCCTCTCATTTCACTGATTAATTGGAAGTTAAATGAATTAGTTATTTCCGACATCCACGGTTTGCTTCTGCTCTCTAAGATACCAAACAAATTCCACTTGGCGGGCAGTTTAGTTAAAAAAAAAACCAACTATATTCACACATTACTGGCAAACACACAATGAACAACTTCACCCGCTGTGCAGATTCAATGCAAATTTATGAGCTCAGAACGCCTGGATACAAATCCAAGCGAAGAGGTTCCAGCTAGCATTGCACAACGGCTAAAAACAAATAAATCAAATCCCTTTCTTAAACCAGCTGCACAAGGTTCTCGATAATACCCCAGAAAGGGCAAAAACAACATAATGAGGAGGACTGCTTTATTCCCACTTCTTCTGATTACAGGTGAAGTGAAACAGCCACTGAACATTTGTTGGCTTAAAAGCAAATTAGCAGGCTCTGTCCAACCAATATATATATATATATCACATATATATATATCATATATATATATAATATATATCACAGATATTAATGCCAGTCACACAAAGTGCTAAAGTGAACTGCTAAATCCTTGTAGGAGACTGACTTCTATCAGGGGGAAGCTTCAAAGTATCCCTACCACTCAACGAGCTCTTAAAAAAGTCTCGATTATAGGACAAATCAACAAAAAAGAAATACAGCTA